AACTGTTAAAAAGTTATCAACTGTAGTAAACTATAAAGTTATAAATGCTACCAACTTGAAACTATCCGAAGAATCTACGCATGTGCGACCAATTTGCCACCTTAACAAGTTCACTTCACCTATAACCTTACTTACACCCAACTCATTCCAGGTAAAAGCAGCTAAGCAGTAGCGCATGTCAGGCTTTATTTCAGTACTAAAATTGAACATAGGCACCAAATGAATTTTGTTGGCTTTCACAACCTCGGGATGAATATGAAGTCCCTCAGGATATTCTTCCTGATCAAAACAAATGTTTACTTTGAACTTGTGGGGTTGCCCTGATTTTATATCAGGGGTACACTTTAGAACGAATCCACATTTTCCAGGAAGATGACAATTATTAGTGTCAGGGTGCTTGAAATTGAAGGCATAAGATTGCGAAGTCTCGAACAAATCTTTGACTGTACTTAACATCTTTTTGTTCCTCCCGACTACTCTTCCAACTCGTCTAACACTCTCTTCCCTAGACGTAAGATCATTTCCATGTTCTTTTATTGTAACGGCGTCTTGGGTATTCCATGGAGAACACGATTCAAGGAATTCAGACGATATTCTGCTCCATCCTCTCTTGCAACGAACAATTTCTATTTCATGTACCATGTCAGGGGTAAGAAATTGACTGCAAACCGGAAGCCCTTCAATCAACATGTACAAATTTGAAACAAGAGGAGATTCTTTAGCAGCATCAAGATATTGCTGGGTACTCAGTCCTCGAAATGTCTCATATGAGCAAAAGATATTGGGAATTTCTGTTGTATTTTGGGGAAGTACAGGTGCTGATAAAACGGTCTTTGATGACGAAGAGGAACTCGTAATTTTCTTAAACTCCTTCACTGACTTCTTGTACAACTTATTCACAAATAATGCATCAGAATCAGATGACTGCGTGGCATTATCTAAAACATCAAACAGGTCCTCAAAGGAAGCCTCATCATCTGAAATACATTTACAAAGATCAACATTCTGTAGGAGGTAACGAGAAGCTTCATCAAACATCGTTCTCTCACTCTCCAGATTCTTCTTCATTATCTTCAACAAGAAAACATGATTACTCCTTGTAATCTGCAACATTAAATCTAGTTGACTAGTTTCTAGTTCAGAGTAATTCCTCATGTAGGGCTCAACAAATATCTCAGCTCTGTTCTCCAAACTACAAATCTTCTCTAGAACCAGGTCTAGAAACTTGTTACATTTCATGACCGTGCTACAAAACCTGGCCTCCTCAAACAAGAACAACAAAGTCTGGTAATCAGAGGAGGGACTCACCCCACCCACCAGGCTGGTAAAGTAGTTCCCACACCTCCCTGCTAACCACTCTACTTTGAACACGTGACACAGCTTGTTAACATCTCTGAACAAGTGTTTCTCCAGCAGGATCTCCCCGCTGTACAGGGCCCCCAGGAACCTCTTCACCGCCTCCCCCGTAAAGTCCTCCATCTGTAGCTCTGTCTGGTGTAGTTCCAGGAACAGGTGAACAAACACTGAACTGTGGTAAGACAGGATCAGGGAGTTTGCTCTTTTTTCCTCTCCTCCTTGTAACTTTAGGACAACGTTTCCGTGAAACTCACAGTGTAGGTTCTCTAGTCCAAAATCTAGCGGTACTGTCACTTTCGGAGCCATGTTTCTGATAAGGTAACTGATTAGTAGAGGAATTGTAAAATAATTCCTGATATTATATAATGACTTGGATATATTTCTCTCACAAGTAGTTTATTTTAGTAGTTCAAAAAGATAATACGAGTTGTCATTTATGCGTTGTATATTGTATATAATATTACCAGTCAAGCCATGGTTGAACTAATGAAAGTTACTTTCGGAGCCATGTTTCTGATAAGGTATGTTATCAGTATTAATTAGCTCTTCTACTTCTAGAGGAATTATACACTATATACAGTCATTCTTTATATAATGAGCTTCTGAATGTCTGATTAGATGTTGGATTATGAAAACGTCGAGAATATTCAAGTTAATAGTTATCTTGAAAATAAATTATTCAATTATTCACATACAATACAATGTTCAAACTTTTATTCTAAACATTCGTATCAAGGTTAAAAAGTTCTACATGCGTGAAAAGTAAGGCTCAGTCATGATTTAATGGGCAAATCCAAACCGAGAGAAGTTAAATCGAATTAAGAAATCTAGATTATAGTAATTGTAACATTGAGACTTGCTTTCTTCAACTATATACAAATCTTCATATCTAACTTACCATCAGCTGTCTAAATTTAAAGAATTCATTAGAAATCACATCTATTTGGAGATTATTCCTACTCTAAAGATATCCAACTGTTAAAAAGTTATCAACTGTTGTAAACTATAAAGTTATAAATGCTACCAACTTAAAACTAATCAGAGGATACATACGTGTCCGACCAATTTGCCACCTTAACGAGGAACCTTCACCAGTAACCTCACTTACACCCAACTCATTCCATGTAAACGTGGCTAAGTAGTAGCGCATGTCGGGTTGTATATCTTTACTATGATTGAACATGGGCACCAAATGAATTTTGTCTGCTTTCACAACCTCAGAATGAATATGAAGTCCGTCAGGATATTCTTCCTGATTTAAACAAATGTTTACTTTGAAATTGTGTGGTTTCCCTGATTTTATATCAGGGGTAAACTTTAAAACAAATCCACATTTTCCAGGAAGATGACAATCAGTAGTGTTAGGGTGCTTAAAATTAAAAGCATATGATTGTGAGGTCTCAAATAGATCTTTGACTGTACAAGAATTCCAACTTAACATCTTTTTGTTCGGCCCAACTACTCTTCCAACTCGTCTAACACTCTCTTCCTTAGATGTAAGATCATTTCCATGTTCTTTTATTGTATCGGCGTCCAATTTGGCTTCTGGAGAACACGATTCAAGGAATTCAGGTGATATTCTGCTCCATCCTCTCTTACGACGAATAATCTCCATTTCATTCACCATGTCAGGGGTAAGCCATTCATCGCAAACATGAACCCCTTCAATAAGCATGTACAAATTTAATACAAGAGGAGATTCTTTAGCAACATTAAGATATTCCTGGGTTCTCAGTCCTCGAAATATTTCAAATGAGCAAAATATGTTGGGAATTTCTGTTGTTATTTGGGGATGTGCAGATACACTTGCAGGAAGGATGGTATTATTAGATGGTAAAGAGGAATTTAAAGTCATCGTTTTCTTAAACTCTTTCATAGATCGCCTGTACAATGTATTTACAAATGACGCATCAGCATCAGATGACTGCGTGGCATTATCTAAAACATCAAACAGCTCCTCAAAAGAAGCTTCATCTTCAGAAATACATTTACAAAGATCAACATTCTGTAGAAGGTAACGAGAAGCTTCATCAAACATCTTCCCCTCACTCTCCAGATTCTTCTTCATTATCTTCAACAAGAAAACATGATTACTCCTTGTAATCTGCAACATTAAATCTAGTTGACTAGTTTCTAGTTCAGAGTAATTCCTCATGTAGGGCTCAACAAATATCTCAGCTCTGTTCTCCAGACTACAAATCTTCTCTAGGACCAGGTCTAGAAACTTGTTACATTTCATGACCCTGCTACAAAACCTGGCCTCCTCAAACAAGAACAACAAAGTCTGGTAATCAGAGGAGGGACTCACCCCACCCACCAGGCTGGTAAAGTAGTCCCCACACCTCCCTGCTAACCACTCTACTTTGAACACGTGACACAGCTTGTTAACATCTCTGAACAAGTGTTTCTCCAGCAGGATCTCCCCGCTGTACAGGGCCCCCAGGAAACTCTTCACCGCCTCCCCCGCAAAGTCTTCCATCTGTAGCTCTGTCTGGTGTAGTTCCAGGAACAGGTGAACAAACACTGAACTGTGGTAAGACAGGATCAGGGAGTTTGCTCTTTTTTCCTCTCCTCCTTGTAACTTTAGGACCACGTTACCGTGAAACTCACAGTGTAGGTTTTCTATTCCGAAATCTAGCGGCACTGTCACCTTCGGGGCCATGGTGCTGATAAGGTAAGTTATTAGTATTGGAGAAATTATACAGTTAATCTTTCAATATAATAATCTGTCTGAATAACTGATTAGATGTTGTATTTGAACAAACGTCGAGAATATTCAAGTAAACAAACGTATTGAAAAGAAATAATTAATCAATTATTTATATACATTACAATGATCAAACTTTGATTGGACAAGTTTTTGTATCAAGGTTAAAAAGTACTACATGCGTGAAAAGTAAGGCTCAGTCCTGATTTATCTTGATATAATAATCTATCTTACTGACTCTTATAATATGTTTTATTATTAAAACATGGAGAATATTCAAGTTAACAGTCATCTTGAAAAGAAATTATTTTAAAAATTCATTAGAAATCACATCTATTTGGAGATAATTCCAACTCTAAAGATATCCAACTGTTAAAAAGTTATCAACTGTTGTAAACTATAAACTATAAAGTTATAAATGCGACCAACTTAAAAGTTTTCGAAGGATTTAAACGTGTGCAACCAATTGTCCACCTTAGCGAGGAACCCTCACCTGTAACCTTGCTTACACCCAACTCATTCCATGTAAAGGTGGCTAAGTGGTAGCGCATATTGTTGGGCGTTATATCAGTACTATAATATTGGAACATAGGCACCAAATGAATTTTGTCTGCTTTTACAAATTCATGATGAATGTGAAGTCCCTCAGGATACTCTTCCTGATTTAAACAAATGTTTACTTTGAACTTGTGGGGTTGCCCTGATTTCATTTCAGGTGTACATTTTAAGAGAAATCCACATTTTCCAGGAAGATGACAATCAGTAGTGTTAGGGTGCTTGAAATTAAATGCATAAGATTGTGAGGTCTGAAACAAATCTTTGATTGTGCAAGAATTCCAAATTAATATTTTTTTGTTCGACCCAACTACTCTCCCAACTCGTCTAACACTCTCTTCCTTAGATATAAGATCATTTCCATGTTCTTTTATTGTATCGGCGTCTTTGGTGGCTCCTGGAGAACACGATCGAACGAGTTCAGGTGAAATTCTGCTCCATCCTCTTTTACGACGAATAATTTCCATTTCATGTACCATGTCGGGGGTAAGCCAATCGTCGCACACCCGGATCCCTTCAATCAACATGTACAAATTAGGTACAAGAG